GCTCCACTGGGGCCTCTGTGCCAGGCTGCACTCTCATCCTCTGGACCCAGCCACGTCGGTTCTGGTTTGCTGCACAGGGACAGCGAAAGGTGACCCTGCTGTCCGACATCGACCAGCCAGCTGTGCTCTTTGCCGTTGGTCCCAGCTGGGCTTTCTGCTGCCTGAAAGGAGCTGATATGAGGAAGCAGATGCTTTGTTCAGTTACTGCAGTTGTCTCCTGAATCACCCTGAAAGGAAAGTCCTGAATAAGCTCAGCAAAGTGTTCTCTCTTTTGCTGGTAGACACTGTGATGTGCTTTTGAACTGTTTCTGGCACACCACCTTTTCCCCCATTATCTCCTCAGTGTCTTGATGGTTAACAAGTAAGCAAATAACTCTGTATTTTTGTGCGGAGCTACAGTATATACAATGGGGTGCCGATGTAATGGGAAGAAATGATCGGCAAGGAGCACTCACAACGCATCATGCTTCTCTAGCTGTAAAAGCAACATTCTCCAGGATGGATCCTGCAGACCAGAATATTTATATTTGAGCTAATTTAAAATAGCTAGTCTAGGTGCAGCTCCAACATCACAGGCTGCAAAGCCTACTCCAGCTTCCCATCCCAGTGGGATGGGGAGGAGAAGGGACAAGAAGTAAAACTCATGGGTTGAGATAAAGACTGTTTAATGAGACTACAAAAGAAATACTACTACTACTAATGATAATAATAATGATACTAATGAGCATTCAAAACAAACTACATACAATACAATTTTCTCACCACCCAACAACCGATCCACGGCCAGTTCCCAAGCAGTGATCGCAGAACACCAAATTTGCAGATTTTTCATGAAACTCCCAGCAAAGTTCAAACTCCCGGACAAGAGAGGATTTGAACTCCCAGAAAAGCTGAAAAGCTGATATCCCACTGCCCACTACCCGCCCCGGCCAACCCCCATCCACAAACTGAGCACGACGTCTATGATATGGAATATTTCTGTTGGCCAGCTTGGCTGGCTGTCTGGCAGTGCTCCCTCCCAGCTCCCGCACAAACCTGTTCATTAGCTGAATATGGGAAACTGGAAAAAATCCTTGAACTCACAGCAACAACTAAGAACATCAGTGTGGTCAACATTCTTCTTGTACTAAAGCCAAAACACAGCAGCTACTGGGAGGAAAATCAGCTCCATCCCAGCCAAAACCAGGACACTAAGTATCAAAGCAACCTGCCCACGATGTGGATGATCTTTTTGTTGCCGCACTAACACCAGTACCCAAGTCAGCACAATCTATGTAACTCAGGTACGACCGCTGAAGCTGAAACTGAAAAGAAACAGGACAGAGGGAGCTGCCAGCTCCTGGTGACTGGATGCATGTTAGCTGGGATAGGCACTAGGACCAGAGGCTCAGTGTCTCTGCGAGCCCCTCACTTGACCGTAGCCTAAGAGACAAAACTGGAGAAAAAGCCCAGATCCCATTTAGAGCGCAAGGTGAAGCAACATTCAAAGAAATGTCATGAAGACTTTGGGGCAAAAGCCCATATAGTTCAGGGCAGTGTCAGACAACCTAAGAAATCTCATTGATCTAGCTAAAACCAAGTCACCAAGGTTGTGACTAACATTAGTTATAGGGTTCCTCCTTCCTGTGAGTTCTTGGCAAGCCTGGCACCGAGATGCAAAAATGGCAGGAAAGCTCTGCTCATTCTTATAATATCTCTTGAGGGCTCTTCCCTACATAACAACACACTGTAAAGATGACCAAGGTTGGGAGGAGGCAAAAAGAAATGTTTTTTCTCCCTGCTAATATGAAACAGGACCTTTGGAGGCAAGTACAAATGTTACTGGTTTTAGCCTAGTTATGTGTTTAGAAGGCTAATCATTCAAATAGGGACTGGAGGAAAAGAAGGCATGCTTCCTTCAAGCACGAGGCCATATTCAACTCCAAAACAGCCCACCTCACTGGCCATTTGCTGCCATTTGAACGAACAAAGGGCATTTCCCCTGTTCTTGAAGTAAGGATGCCAACTAGCTAAACCAGTCAGAAATAAACACAGTATTTTTTCAACTCAGTGCTCAAAGCTAGGAAATCATGTCTCGTTCTGAATTCAGCAAGATTTTCCACCTAGCACAGAAGCAAGATACTGCTGAAGCTGCGAAGTCCTGGCACTATAAAATGCAAGCTGGTCTCTTGCCCCTGAGCTGGGCAGTTTCTTTTGTTAAGTTTGAAACACAGCAGAGCAAGTAACTTGGCTGACGACTGCTCACTGTTCTGACACAGCAGTTCCTAAGGGGGTCCTCAGAAAGCAATAATTCTTTAAAAAAATGTAACAGTGTCCTATTATTCAAAAACTTTCAAAGTGGCATTACAGCTTGCTGGAGCTAATATGGGCTGCAGACTAACCTATTTTCCAAAATGTGAAAATCTCCTTTGTTTTACAGCCATCCTCAGTGAACAGCTACCATGGACTATGGCTGCTACTCTTCCAAATACTTTCCCCTATTTGCTTTAAAGACAGATAAGCTTCTCCTGCAGCCAACACAAACAAGTAACTGGAAGAGAACCTCTGCAGAGCTCTGTCCCGAGGCACACACAGGGGAATGGAAGAGCTGTGAAGACACAGCAGTGCAGCCTTTGCTATGGAGAAACTTCCACCTGGCTTGGACTGAGCTGGGCATCCAAATTCCTTCAAAATACTAGGTTACTAGTACAAAAAAGACATATGTTTACCTGTTTATTGCCTTTTGCTCACTGCACCTGTCTGCAAAAGTACTGTCATTTCATCTTGAGGACTTTATTCTCAAAATACGGCAGGATGAGAAATATCTCAAGGATGATGGTTTGTTTTCCTTCCACATCTCAGGGCAAGTGTCTCCCAGCAAGAGAGATACTTTCTTGTGAGAGACTTCCATATAAAACCATACATGAACAAAATGTGACTAAGTGTAACAAATGGCTCTGTGTTCTTGTCCACAACCTTTTGTGCCACCAAGGTATTACATCCTCAGCTCCAACATCCAAAGCTAAGAGAGGGATACAACAGAACTCCTCTCAGCTGCATGCCTTCAAAAAGGTATATACAGAATTCAAATTAATGTACAGAAATTATAATAAATATTAAATTCTTCATTGCCTCACCCTCAGAAAGCCACCCTAAGTAGGAGCCTTCTACTTTTGAAACAACAGCAGATTTCAAGATACCAATACTCGCCCACAATTCCTGACCAACTCCAGCCACTGCAAGAGACCGCTGTTGAAGGAAGCCAGGTCTGAAACTGAGCAGGTCAGGAATCTACCAAATGCTGATTTGTGGGAATTAAAATGAAGAATAATCACTGTAACATAATCTATTCATCACTAAGTAGTGTTACACGGATATAATGATCATATCAATATGATGTTTATTATAGTATACCACAAACATATTTTAGAAGAATCAAAGCAAACAGTTTTGCTAAGTAGGTTTCATACATTTATAAGCCTATGACACACAAAGCTTTCCCTAGTGAGCTTTTGATCTTGCTCTTCACATTTCACATTGAGGGTACAATGCTAACATCACACATCCAATTAAGTTTTTTAGTCGAGTTGTGACTTTTTTTATGTAAGTTCTTATTTACAGCATACCTCTTTTCACAAAAGATGGCAGTAAGTCCAGAAGGCTTTCCTAATCCTTGTGAACAGTTAAACACATTGCTACATACACTTCAAAAATCATGCTTTTATTTTCATTTGAACCGAATGTGAATAACTGTTACTAGTCAGATACTTCTTTGACCAGTCACCTGTTTAGAAAATCAATTTCCCCTTATTTTTTAAATCAGCTTCCCTTTTCCTTTTTTTGTTTTTCATTAGAAGTTGTGTTTTTCAGAAACAATGCTTACCTGCTAACTTCTGAAGCCTCACCCTTGTTTCTCAGAAAAGGATAAAGTGGGTTTTGCAGATGATTTTGTGGAGAACCATAGGTATTAAAACTGCTCATCTGTGTTAATTAAATACATCTGCTTCAGAAAATAAGTCTGGGTCTATAAACCACTTCTGCCTGGCCATGTGTAAACTAGACTAGCAGACATTTTGAAACTGAATAAAAAAGTGCTGTAAGTGTGCAGCTACAGCCAGAAATGTGGTATTATAAGTGACCTCTGATTTGAATGTTTCCCATATCTTTTTTCTGAGATGGCAAGATACTATGTTTTCTAATACTTTGTTTGCACTGCAGACCTTTAAATTGAGAAGCAGCAACAAGATTATCTTCTGTTTTGTACGCAGTAATCCCTCTGGATTCTAAATCTGTATTACTGACAGACAGCAAGGAAGACCTAATTACTGCAACCTCAAAGCTTCATTTCTGCCATCTGAATTATGCAAAAACCATGGGCTTCTTTTCCTTTCCTGAGAGTATGCAGAATTCCCAGCCTATTTGCAGCCCTATAACCTGGAGAGGCAGCAATGAGATACTTATTTCAACTGCAAGCACTGATTTTCATGAGTGGGTGAACAATGTCTTTTGCCCTCCTGCCACAAATAGTTGTGCAATAAAATATGCCACTTGAGATTTCTATTCCTACAAGATTCTGCATCTCAGTTTAACAAACCATTCAACAGGTATGACTACACTGCAAACAAAAAGCAGACATACTTTTTAGCATATAGTCCATAGTGCTCATAACATGAACATTAGGGACTGCCAGTCTTCTCATCATACATCTGCCTTGTGTGCCATTTGTCCAGATGTGTCCAGTCACCTGAACAGTCAGTCACTGGAAGCATATTCAGCTTTGTTTTGAAGACAACTTTATAGATGCAGTGTAGACATACATCATAGGACTACCAGGACTACCTTAAAATTAAGGTTTTAAAGGGATGTTGCTGATCAACAATGAAGCAAAGAAGAAAATAGAGATGATTTTGCAGGAGGTATTCTACCTTATCATGGTCCCTGGAGCTTCAAGCTTCAACAAGCTCACATATCAAAAGAAACTGTGTAGGACGTTTGCAGCACTTATTTTTGTTCTACATTACCTTTAAGACAAAGCAGTGATCTGTAGGTGCCTTATATTTCACTTTGTGTTGAGAACCGTAATAGACATTCATATTCTCAAACTGAAGGAAGCATGCCAGATCCCGTGATGTCTACAAATGAAAACCAAGCACATCATTGTTAGAACAAATTGAATTTTGATGTGAAAGTCATTAATATGACCTTTTTTAAAGTGTATGAATGCCTATGCTTTTTATTTTTTTAACTGTCATGAAGCTGACTGAAGAAAGATGAATTTTAAGTGTGTGCATTCTTAAACTAACAGTAGGAAGAGAGTCAGTACATATAAGGAATAATATATAACACATGAAGTGCCAAAGGTATGTCAGACTTCCTTGCTTTTTTATAACAAGTGAAAACATGATTATATGATGAATTTCAAAACAGCTGCAGCAGCTGACGATACTATTATCTGCCAACGGTTTGTTTCTGTACCTAAATGAAAGATCACTCTACCCACAACTGTATGACTGCAGCAAGGGGCATGTGCACCCTTCATACCACTCTGACATGAGATGAACTCTCAAAATTTAAGGGCTTTGACTGCTACCACTACAAGTTATCAATTTTACTTTTTTTTCCTTTGTAATTTAGTCAGGGAATAGCAGAACAGTTAAGTTTCACAGCATAAATCATAACAGTAAAGCTCCATCAGCAGCACTAAAATTTTCAGATATGAAGCATCAGCAGAGCTGTAAGGTGTAACAGAAGTGGTTTTCAGAAGACAAAAAAAACCAAAAACCACACCAGTCCCAGAAGCCACCATTCTACCTCATCACTGTGTAAATGAGAAGCCAGCTGCCCTTATGTGCAACATGTCCAGGACCCCTTTCTTTCTCCAGTGCTGGCAATTCAGACTCTATAAATATTTGTCAGTGCATTTGAGTTGATCAGATGGATCCTTCTGTCTCACTTCTTTCTACACAAAGGGCAGCCTTAAAAAGCCTTAAAAGGCACAACACATTCTCTAGGCAAAGATCACTGTAGGAAAAAATGTATAGAATTTCTGCATGCTGGTTACTGGCACAGAAAGTCAGTATCAAACAAAGCAAAATTCCACCTTTTTTGTGATAAGAAATTAGTTTACTTGAGAACTTTTAAAATATTCTTCCACAGGGAACCCATATAACAGTGAAGCATTTTGGCAGCCTAACACCAGCTGAAGGGTGCTATGCTGTTTTCCTTCCCCTACTGACTTCCGGAGGAGTGCTATTTCATTAAAGCTTTTATCTCTCCACAGAAATCAAAAGGACAGAAATGTGACAAGATTCAGCGACTACGTGGCAATATTTGAACAAGTGGTGTAGTCAAAGTTAAACCAGAAAAACCCCAACCCTCTCAGATGCACCAGACAGTGCTCTTAAAACGTCATCTTGAGAGTTCTTCACTTTTACCTCCATGAATTGTTTTATTGCTAAAAAGATTATTTGGCTTCCTGACCTTGGTTTTTCCTTTGGGTACATAATAAATTCCAGAAGCTCGTAGAAGAAAATAACGCCTCTTCCAGGACTTTTTTCCATCTTCTTTTAAATAAAGGGCCCCTTCAAGCTCTGGCACAATGACAGATGTCCCACAGAAGCTTTCCTGTGCAACAAGAATAATAACTTACAAAATAAATTGACTTAAGCACAACACTATCAATAAATAGCAGAAAAATGGTCCCTTGAAAAATAAAGACATTTCCCGTGACAGTGAACATATAAACATGAGGAATGCAGTTACAGGGAGCTGAACACCTTAGGCAAAGGAAACCTTTCCAAGCTAATGTGGTAACTTGGCCATGCAAGTTGGGTGCTCACACTGGAGAAGAAGTGTTGCAAAACCTCCCCTCTTGAAGGAGTCAAGCAAAAACCTACAGAAGGTTTTCACTAAATATAGATTGCCAGTGAAGGCAATAAAACAGAATGGTTGGTATCGCTGCTGTTGGTTTTTCTCTGTTGCTGTATCTATACGTTCTGTAGAGAAATACTTCTGTAGACAGAATCTTAACAGATTTCTTAGAGCTCTAAAAACAGGTAAAGCAAAAATCCCCCTCAATCTCGGCTTTCGCTGTGAAATACATGCAAGCATTTACAACGCTGTTTAAACAAATATACTTCATTGTTTGCTTGAAGGACCTACTGTTGGGTAATTTTTAATGCCAACACACTTATCACTTAATGTTTTCATTCAGAATCTGCCAGGACTTCTGCTGGTTGACATCTGGTGCCTTCATGAGATGCACTCATTTTGAAATAGGAATCCTCAGTCACCTGGGAACAGCATTTCCTTTGTGCACTTCTACCGCAGTTGAAATGCTTGCCAGGAGATCTGTGATAATCTTCTCTTTCATAT